TGGCTTGAACCTGGGAGGCGGAGGTTGCAGCGAGCCAAGATTGTGCCACTGTACTCCAGCCTGGGCAACCCAGTAAGACCCTGTCTCAAGAAAAAGAAAGAAAGAAAGAGAGAAAGAAAGAAAAAGAAGTGAAGATGGATGCATATGCAGAAAAATTTGTAGTCTTGACCATAAAAAGACAAAGTCTCTGGTCTAATCTCTTTTAATCTATCAGTGAAGCGTCAGGTAAGAATAGTTGACGGGTGAGGCTTGCGAACTGTGTGAAAGGATAAAATTGTCATCAAATTTTGCGAGTAAGCAAATGTCCTGGAGAGTCTCTGGGGTTGCTGGGCAGTGTCATGTGTGCCTTTGTGTTGTTTGTGTTCATTAGAGGAGAACCAGTCAGTCTAGTTAAGTGATTTTCGCCAACAATGTTCAGGGGCTCATGGGAAGGCGTGGAGAAATCAGTGATTGCTTTCATTCGGGGTTAGGGTTATGCCAGGCGTGACTGATGGAAGAAGAAAAAAGCAAGGAAACTGAAAGCATTTGCCAGGGAGTGATTGTAACAAAGCAAAGCACCTTGGAATTGGAATCTTTCCTTTCCTTTTTTTTTTTTGAAATAGGGTCTCTCTGTCACCCATGCTGGAGTGCAGTGGCGTGATTATAGCTCACTGCAGCATCGACTTCCTCAGACCCAGGTGATTCTCCCACCCCAGCCTCCCAATTAGCTGGGACCACAGGCATGTACCACCACACCTGGCTAATTAAAAAAAAAAAAAAAATTTCAGAGCTGGGCGCAGTGGCTCATGCCTGTAATCCCAGCACTTTGGGAGGCTGAGGCAGGCAGATCACTAGGTCAGGAGATCGAGACCATCCTGGCTAAAACGGTGAAACCCCGTCTCTACTAAAAATACAAAAAATTAGCCAGGTGTGGTGGTGGGCGCCTGTAGTGCCAGCTACTCAGGAGGCTGAGGTAGGAGAATGGCATGAACCCGGGAGGCGGTTTGCAGTGAGCAGAGATTGCGCCACTGCACTCCAGTCTGGGCGACAGAGCAGGACTCCGTCCCAAAAGAAAAAAAAATTCGTAAAGCTGGGATTTTACCACATGGCCTATGCTGGTCTCAAACTCCTGGCCTTAGGCCATCCACCACCTCAACCTCCTAAAGTACTTGGATTACAGGTATAAGCCACTGTGCCCGGCTGGAATCGTATCTGAACTAAATTGAACTGAAATTTGTGCCCATTCTGATAATAGTAATAAAAAGCCAGAAAACCAGAACCAAGGAAAAAAGATAACAGAAATAAAAGACCAATAAACTGTTTAAGTTGAGCTTTATGCTGTGTCACCTCAGTTAACTCATGATTCCTGGTTCCTTTCTTGGCAGGAATCTTTTCACAAGGCCCGGCAGGTGTGGTGAACGAATTAGCAAACACCAGCATTGCATTTCAGCGCCAGCCAGTACAAGCATGCCCACAAGTGTCCAGGCAGAACTCTCAGCCTCAGCTTTGGGGACCCAGCCAGGATTCCTTTCTTCTTCCCAGCCTTCCAGAAAGATCAAAGACTACAGACCACTCACTTCCTGACTCACCTTTTCCTGTCAAAAGCTTCTAGCTGGGCAGGTAGTACTCTGGCAGGGAAATGGTTATTTGTTGTTAAACCCCAGCCCCATGTTGGCTCCCCCAGATTCTCTTTGTATGGGGCTGGGGTACATGTGGAATGAGATTGTCTGATGTCTGTGTGGAGGTAAGGAGATGGCAAGCTGGGAGTGTGTGGTGCAGACACGTCAGTATCGGGGAGATGATAACCTGGAATGAGATCATGAGATAGCAAGCACACCCCTCCACACACATTGTGTGGTCTCAGAATGCCAGGCAGGAGTTGGGGCTGGGAGACACTTCTGAGATGAAGGAGTGTCTGTGTGTGTACTTATGTGTAATCGAAATGGCCTTGTATTCCCTAATGCCTCACTCTGCACACTTCTGAGATGAAGGAGTGCCTGGGACAGGGCAGGAGAATGGCGTGAACCCGGGAGGCAGAGCTTGCAGTGAGCTGAGATCACACCACTGCACTCCAGCCTAGGTGACAGACCAAGACTCCGTCTCAAAAAAAAAAAAAAAAAAAAAAAAACATTAGTCGGGCATGGTGGTGGGCACCTGTAATCCCAGCTACTCAGGAGACTGAACCCTTTTTTTTTGAAACACAGTCTCACTGTGTCACCCAGGCTGGAGTGCAGTGATGCCATCTCACCATCTCAGCTCACTGCAACCTTTGCCTACCAGGTTCAAGCATTAATACAGTGCTTCCCAAACAGTAATGTGCTAAATCACCCCTGGGTCCTGTTTAAAATATAGATTCTAAATCAATAGGTCAGAAGTGTGACCTGAGGTTCCGCACTTCTAACAAGCTCTCAGCTGATCCTGATGCTACTGGTCCAGAGAACACCTTAGAGGAGCAAGGCTGTAATCATGTAAGAGTCATTCATTCCGACCAGGCACCGTGGCTCACTCCTGTAATCCCAGCACTTTGGGAGGCTGAGACGGACGGATCACAAGGTCAAGAGATCGAGACTATCCTGGCCAACATGGTGAAACCCCATCTCTACTAAAAGTACAAAAAAAAAAAAATAGCTGGACAAGGTGGTGTGCACCTGTAATCCCAGCTACATGGGAGGCTAAGACAGGAGATCACTTGAACCCAGGAGGCAGAGGTTGCAGTGAGCCGAGATCATGCCACTGCACTCCAGCCTGGCAACACAGTGAGACTCTGTCTCAAAAAAGAAAAAAAAAAAAAGCGATTCATTCCCACAACCATTCCTCTATATCCTGGAGCTGCATTGAATTGCCATGAGTTCAGCTTCTCCTGAATAACATTCTCTAGTTTTCTATTCTGAGGCTCTGTGTATGGGCCTCGTTGAACATAGAGTAGATACACTGGGGTCCAAAGATTCTTGGACTAATAACTTCCATCACTTTGAAATAACTGAAGAAACTGTCTTCCAACTTCAGTCTTGAACATATGTAGATCATGGTGGTAGAACCAGGCAGTGTCTACCACTTGGATTTTTTTCTCTAAAGCAAGTGCCAGTTCATATACTCTTTTTTTTTTTTTTTTTTTTGAGACAGTCTCATTCTGTTGCCCAGGCTGGAGTGCAGTGGTGCGATCTCGGCTCACCACAACCTCCACCCCCAGGGTTCAAGTGATTCTCTTGCCTCAGCTTCCTGAGTAGCTGGGTCTACAGGCATGTGCCACCACACCCGGCTAATTTTTGAATTTTTAGTAGAAATGGGGTTTCACTATGTTGGCCAGGCTCGTCTCGAACTCCTGATCTCGTGATCCGCCCTCCTCCCAAAGTGCTGGGATTTCAGGCGTGAGCCACGGCGCCTGGCCTCACATACTTCTTCTAATAGGTTTGTTCCTCCAGGGGTTTTCCTGGATGTCCTTGGTAGCTTATATATCTCTTAGGAGCAACTCACCCATCAGGATGTCAGTGGTACTGCATGAACTGAGGAAGTAATGGGGATAAAACGATAGTTGCTATGAAATGGGGTGTTCTAGAAGAAGATGCTGGAGTTGTGCACAGCATGCTGGGTGGTGAGGACAGGAACCAATGGAGATACTGGAGGAGGTATAGAAATGCAAGTTCTCTTCAGACCCTTGTGGCCACTGATTAGGTGGGGTGATAGCCAGGTAGATGAAGATTCCAAGAGTCATTAAAGTACCCTCCAAACCAGGAGATAAGCTGGGGACCATGGTGGCACTGGGGAGAGACTGGATAGTACATGACTGATGGCTGCAAAGAGGCCTCCATTCTTTTCAGTGAGGGCTTTTTTGTCTTTCGGGGACCTGAGTCCTCAGGAAAATCCTTTTCCAGAAGTATTTGCCTTTTCAGAACCTTTTATAGAAAACATTAATGTAGAAAACACCACTGCAAGAAATGCCTTTGAAGAAAACATTTTCATGGAAAACACGACTATGCCAGAAGGCACCATCTCTGAAAACACAACCTACCATCATCCTCCTGAGGCAGATTCCGCTGGGAGTGCATTCAACTGTGACTATAATAGTGTGTGGGGGCCCGGCATGGTGGCTCACGCCTGTAATCCCAGCACTTTGGGAGGCTGAGGAGGGAGGATCACAAGGTCAGGAGTTTGAGACCAGCCTGGCCAACATGGTGAAACCCTGTCTCTACTAAAAACACAAAAATTAGCCAGGCGTGATGGCATGTGCCTGTAATCTCAACTACTCAGGAGGCTGACGCAGGAGAATCGCTTGAACTGGGGAGGCGGAGGTTGCAGTGAGCGGAGATTGCGCCATTGCACTCTAGCCCGGGTGACAGATCGAGACTCCAAGTGAAAAAAAATGTGTATATATATATAGTGTGTGTAGGGTGCACTGCAACATATTCCCGCCTATGTACAAGGCATTTAAGGTTGGGGCATGGGAAAATGAGGCCCTGTGTGTATGTTATTTGTGCATGTGAATGAAACTCCTTGACCCTGAAAACAGGACAGGGAGTGGAGTGTGTGGCGTGATAAGGAACACTGAAAACAGCCTCCTGAGAATGCAGTTCGAGTGCTCTTACAAGGCCACAGGTGTCTCACGACCCGACCTCAAAAAAGACATCTAGTGGATGTTTGTGGTTTAACAAGCCCTTTCAATGAATACTTGGCGGACGGATGCTGGGGCGGACTCTCTTAGAAGAGCTGCCCCCCCGCCCCGCTCAGCCGGAATTGTCTGAGAACTCATTATTGGCTTTCACTGCAAGCTATAAGCTCTGCCTAGTGATGATTCTGATTATAATTTTCCCCCTCATTGAGGTAAGGACAATAATTAATTCAGCTTTTCAGAATACAATCCTGTTTTTGTGTGGGTTCAGAGCCCACAAACTGAAAATCAAAGCCACTTTCCCACCTGCTACTACTTGACATTCTTCTTCAGTGGTTTAAAACTGAGGTATGCTTTGTTCTTTTACTGCAATGCATATTCCAGGAATTTTTTGTATTATTGTAATTATTTTTATGTACAGAAAGCTCCACAGTATACATTTAACCCAATTCAGTGGCAAGTTATTTAGCCTTTGCCTTTTCAAGCTTGGCGATGCAAGTCACAGACTTGGGACCCAGGACGTTGCCTCCCCAGTGACGGCGGATCTCATCATGTCTGTTGTTGTAATTGGTCCTGACAGCTTCCACCAGCTTAGCCAAAGTGCCTTTGTCTTCCGAGTTCACCTGTGTGAAGGCAACAGTGGTGCAGGTCTTCCCGCAGACTAGACGGCCCGGTCTTGCCTTCCCCTTGATAATGCAGTAAGGGACCCCCATTTTATGACACTGGGCAGGCAAGAAGACAACCAGCTCAATGGAAACCACATCGTGCGCATTCACAACCAGCTGAGCTTTCTTGTTCTCCACCAAGGTGATGACAGTGTTAACTCCTGCTCGAAGGACAGGTAGTCTCTTAGGGGGGACATCCCCTTTGCCAGCAGCTTTCTTTTTGGCAGGGGACAACAGCCTCTGCTTCTTTTCCTGCTTTGTCTCTGCTCTGTATTCGTGGGCCACGCTAAGCAGCCGAGTAGCTGTCTGGCGGTCCAGGGCCTGGGTGAACTGGTAAATCGCAGGACGCACTTCCAGCCGCTTGTAGAGGATGGCTCTCTACTGCAGCAACCTGATATAGCAGGGCCATTTCACAAAGCAGGTGAGGTCTCTTTTGGGCTGGATGTCCTATCCTAAGCCAAAATTCTTAGGCCTTTTCTCAAACAGGGTATTCACCACTTTCTTGGCCTCCTACTTCTTCACAACAGCAGGTGCTGGAGCCACCTTCTTCCCATTGGCCTTCTTTCCTTTTGGCGTCTTGGACAGCGGGAGGAGAGAGACTACTCCAGGATTTTTAAAGGATCCTCGCTTCCAGGAGATCTCAAGTCGCCCTTACTCTGCCACTAATTTATTTCCTTGTTGCTGAAATGATGAGAGATGTATAATCTCCACCCCCATGGAGTTGTCATCACCTGTCTTGTGCATGTGTCTCCCCAGGGGCATTTTCAGATTTCTGGCACATCGGAGATGCTCATGGCGAAGTGCGACTCAGGTACATTGGAGGATTCATTGCTGTCAGTGTCACATGCTTGAAAAACATGGCACAGAAGCTGCATGACAAGGAATCTTCTAATGAGGATGAGATCTTCAACAGGGACGCGGGGTAAATGACGGGCCCTCACAGTTTCCATCACAGCTGATTTCCAGAGGATGGAAGAAGTCAGGAAACTGGGGAAACTACTGGTGAGGTCCTTGCAGCCCCACAGTCCCCAGGTTGGTGACTGGTGGGGGAGTATGGAGTCCAGCTGACCACCAGAGCCTGCACACCTGCTGCTACGGGGGAGGAAAGGATGACTTCTACCTCCTTTCCATGTTCCAAATTCCACATGACTACATTTTATTGGCAGCACCCCGCTGGCAACGGAGCCTTGATATGTGCTTCCTGGGCTTCTGGCACCTGGCCGCCCTCGGACCTTGCTCCTGTCCAAGCCCCCGCTGTCTGGCCCCGGCCTTGGGTTGGGCTGTGCTGTCTAATGGCTGTCTAACAGCTGTCTAATGGCTGCCTGGCCCCCTCCCCTGTACAGGAAGTCCTATGGTTGCTTTTTAACTACTATTGGCTGCCAAATTGTGCTTCTTTAAATATGACTGCATGTTTTTTACTTTATAATTGTCAAGAACAGTGAAGGGACTGAGATTTTTGCCTTCCCTTGAAAGCCAACAAGTTAGCCTGCCTCAGTTTCATGGATGCTGACAGAAGACACAAGACTTCTGGATCAGAGGCAAAGGACTTTATCACTTATGGCACAGGAAACAGCATGATGTCCATGTTCATGTTGGTTTCCCCTGAGCCCTCAACCTGTGGGATCTGCCTCCAGGTAGGTAGTGTTGAAATTGATTTGGAGAACATCCCGCCGGTGTTCACTGCAGAATTAATTGCTCCTTTGGTGGTGGGAAGAAATCCCCACACACTTGGTCACAGAAGCCTTCTTCTGTGTTAATGATTGCTGTTGTAGGGGTGTGAGAGCAGAGGAAAAACATGGTTTGAGAGGTTTTCTGGAACACCCCATCACAAGATTATAGCTCTCCTTAGAACTGCTCTATAGATAACATCTTGAACATTGTGAAATGTCAGGTTTTCCATTTGAGATATTCTTTCAGGTCCTGCACACGAGTGAAACTACAGACGCCAGCTGCTCTGAAGGACCCCACAAGAAGCTGACTCACCAAAGAATGTGGTGTCCACATCCTGATGATTTCATCTCCTTTATCCCAACCAATCATTGGCCCCAATTTTCCAGCCCCTCCCCTCCACAATCCCCTTAAAAGCCCCAGCCCAGAACTCCTTGGCAAGACAGATTTGACGGTCTCCTCCGGTTTCCTTGCTTGGTCATGCTAAGACCATTAAACTCTTTCTCTGCTGCAAACCCTGCTGTCTTTGTGTATTGATCTGTTACTGGACAGCAAGCATAAGAATGTGTTGGTCCAGTAACACATTTCTGGGGGGACTAGTAGTATACCAGGTGCTAACCCTAGTTTTTCCCTTTGTTTGCGTTTCAGAATGAAAAAAACTCCTTTATATAATAGGGAGATGTGATGTACATACTTACAATGGTGACAGGGAAAGATGTCATTTTACTTCCATATGTCCTTTTTTTTTGGTAGAGGTGGAGGGGTCCTTTTCAAATTTTCATTAATTTACACCATTTGTCTAGAACTTTTTAAACGCATTTTCTCTTTCAAAATCAATGTACTTTCATCTCTTTTTTGTTTATAATAAATACATAAACAAATCAGACTGAGCAGTCTCCCAACAGGAAACAGATGTTGTACCCACCCAAAGGGCAGTGTGCAAGGAACAGGGAAACCAGTGGAGCCTGAGAAGCTCCCACTTGGGCCTGAAGGAGTCGGGGAGAGGAGGCATGCCCAGGGGTTGCCTGAAAGAGCTGTGGCTTTTGCTAGAGGGACATAGTCAACCTGCAGTAACTTACAGAGAGAATCAACAAGCATCAGACCTCCACCAAAACCAAGCAGAAGCTTGAGGGTAGGGGTCCAGTTTATGCTGAGCAGGCTGGAGAGTGGCCCTGGAGCACAAGTAGAGAAAATTGAATACAGTCAGTTGCTCTTTCTCTCCTTGAAAGTTTTCCTATCACAGAGGACTTTGGTCCCTATATTATTAGATCTAAGTTCTAACTTTCTCTTCAAAGAATCAATATGTCAGTACATTCAATTCTTTGCCTTCTACTTTTAAACTTAACTTCCTTGTAAAGAAACCTTTTTCGATTACCTGCTCCACCCTGACTCATTCCAATTACCTCCTCATTCTCCACCCTGACTCATTCTGATTTCCTGCTCTGCCACAACCATTTTTCCGTGTCAAACCACTCACCCCGTCACTCTCTTTAAATTAGCCAACAGAATTAGTTTAGCCTGTGCAGTCTAACCCTAACCAATAGGGGAACGACACAGCAGCAGCGGCCATGTGTGTCAGGGATAAGAACCCCTTTCCCTCCCTTGTGCAGGCATGCGCTCACCATTGCTCCATCTGTAAGGGCTCAGTCTTTTATAGAAGTACCTTGCCTTGCTGAGAATTAAAAAGAAAATTTTATATTAGAGTGCTATTTCTTTTGTGGCACCAAAATTTTATTTATAACAATATCAATAATAATATACCCTAATTTGTCTAGCACTTTGAAGAAGGAAATTGTTTTCATATACATTATGTCACAAGTCAAGCTCATGGACACATATGTACTACCCTGTGATAAAATGAAGCAACAAACTCTGAGAAAAAAAACATGTCTTACCCAAAGGAACATAGCTGTCAACAGACAAACCAGCTTTTAAATCCAGTTTTATCTGCTCTGCCCACCACATATACAAATACTGTTTGGTCTTTCTGTAACATATTTCATGAGAAAAGTAAACATTGTCTGGGCATGGTGGCTCACGCCTATAATCCCAAAACTTTTAGTAGGCCGAGGCGAGCAGATCACCTGAGGTCAGGAATTCCACACCAGCCTGGCCAACATGGCAGAACCCTGTCTCTACTAAAAATACAAAAATTAGCTGGGCATAGTGGCTCATGCCTGTAATCCCAGCTACTCGGGAGGCTGAGGCACGAGAATTGCTTGAATCTGGGAAGCGGAAGTTGCAGTGAGCCAGGTTTGTGCCACTGCACTCCAGCCTGGGTTACAGAGTTGAGAATGTCTCAAAAAAAAAAAAAAAAAGAAAGAAAAAAGAAAAGTAAACATCATTTGCATATACTCACAACTTAAAATAAGCAAATTAATAAGGCTGTGGGTGGTCGGGGAGCAGTTAAAAAAACATTTGGCCAGGGGCGGTGGCTCACGCCTGTCATCCCAGCACTTTGGGAAGTTGAGGTGGGTGGATCACCTGAGGTGAGGAGTTCGAGACCAGCCTGATCAACATGGCAAAACCCCATCTCTACGAAAAATACAAAAATTAGCTGGGCGTGGTGGCACATGCCTATAATCCCAGCTACTTGGGAGGCTGAGGCAGGAGAATCGTTTGAACCCAGGAGACGGAGGTTGCAGTGAGCTGAGATCACACCATCGCACTCCAGCCTGGGTGACAAGAGCAAAACTCCATCTCAAAAAAAAAAAAAAAAAAAGCAAAAAACTTCGATTAATCTTATTCCTGATTCATTCCCTAGATCCTTTTTTTTTTTTTTCTTGAGATGGTCTCACTTTGTCAGCCATGCTGGAAGGTGGTAACACAATCACAGTACACTGCAGCCACAATCTCCCAAGCTTCAGGTGAGCCTCTCACCTCAAACTCTCAAGTAGCTGGAACTACTGGCACGCCCCACCACACCCAAGTAATTTTTTAAATTTTTGGTAGAGATGAGGTCTCACTATGTTGTCCACTCTGGTCTTGAACTCCTGAGTTCAAGCAATCCTCTCACCTTGGCCCCACAAAGTGCTGGGATGACAGGAGTGACCCACTGCACCCGGTCACCATTCCCTAATTCTTTCATAGGAAATTGCCAAGTCAGAGGCTGCTTCAGAGAGATTCTGCCTGAAGTGGATTAGAACCACAGGGAGGTTCTCAATTTAAATTTACCTTCCTCTCATTCCACAAATGCCTGGACACAGAAACACTGCACCTAGTTATATTTTTAAAATTGATATTAATCAACAAGTACAAATTACATATATTTATGGAGTACAACATGATGTTTTGATATCTGTGTACATTGTGGAATGGCTACATCAAGCTTCTTAACATTCTATTACCTCTGATGAGGTTAAAATATGCTAGTCTGGTGCACAGACTAGTTAAGCTAGCATTTGAAAGACAGCAGGTACAAGAAGATAGCTCTGATCTTCATGCTATTTTTCTTTTTTTTTTTTGAGATGGAGTCTCACTCTGTTGCCCAGGCTGGAGTGCAGTGGCGCCATCTTGGCTCACTGCAACCTCTGCCTCTGGGGTTCAAGCAATTATCCTTCCTCAGCCTCCTGAGTAGCTGAGATTACAGGCACCTGCCACCACACCCAGCTAATTTTTGTACTTTTAGTAGAGACAGGATTTCACCATGTTGTCCAGGCTGGTCTCGATCTCCTGACCTCAGGTGGTCCACCTGCCTCTGCCTCCAAAAGTGCTCGGACTACAGGTGTGAGCCACCGTGCCCAGCCGTCTTCACGCTATTTCTTAAAAGCAGAAGGTAAAACTCCCATATGAAAGAGGTAACGTCCTTATCCTTAAGAATAAGAAGTTGAGACGGAGAGAATTCCCTATGGATCTTGCTAAAATAACTTTTCTCTTTTAAGCCTCCCCACATAACTTAGTTATTTCTTCATAACTGAGTATACTTTGTGTAAGGTTCTTGTATCGGTTCAAACCCCGAGAGCGCACCAACAGACAACACGAGGCAGTGTGGAGCAACATGCTGTTTTAAGGAACGCCTGGGTGCAGGCGGGCTGAGGCTTAAAATGGTGACAGCCCCAGGTGAGGATGGGACAAAGGTTTTAGTCTCCTGTAAAAACGAAGTGTCCTAGTCTGATGTAACTGCTACATTGTACCTGGATGGCCTCTTTCTTGATCTTCAGGGGTAGGTGCCTTCCGGCCAGGGTAGGTGTCTTCCAGCCGGCTCTCTTCCTGCTTCTGCTCTCTTGCTGACTCATGCTGCTGACACAAGTGGCCTTGTGCTTGGGACTGGGCCTGAGAAGGGAGGAGTTATTCATCTCCTTAAGCTTTCAGGCCCCAGGGAGACTCTTACACTTTGTCCAATTCAGTATTTAAGTAACTGACTCTAACTGATTATTTGGGTCTTCATTTCCTTATTAGAAGGTCCCATGCCACATAAAACTTGTATTAACTAAATTTGTGTGCATTTCTCCTGCTAATTTATCTTATGTCAGTTTAATTATTGTACCCAACCGGGACCCCAAGAGAATGGAAGGGGAATTCTGCCTCCCCTTCACTCCACATACCTATTTTTTGTAGTGAGAACCCTGAAAATCTAGTCTCTTAGCAATTTTAATGGCAATATGTTGTTTTTAACGGTGGTCACGGTGATGTATGATAGATCTTTAGAACTAATTCCTCCTGTCTAACTGAAATTTTGTGTCCTGTGCCCAATACGTCCCCAACTCCTCCATCCCCAGTCTCTGATAATCACCCTTTTACTCTCTGTTTCAGCACATTCAACTTTTGTTATATTATTTTTAATGTCATGATAAGAAAAGCAAATTGCTACCATAGGATGTACGTGTTCTGTGTCATTGGTAACTTCAACCTGAATAGGAAGAGCATTCTAAAACTGTTTTGGCCAGGTGCGGTGGCTCACGCCTGTAATGCCAGCACTTTGGGAGGCCGAGGTGGGTAGATCACCTGAGGTCAGGAGTTTGAGACCAGCCTGGCCAACATGGTGAAACCCTCACTCTACTAAAAACAGAACAATTATCTGAGCATGGTGGTGTGCCCCTGCAATCCCAGCTACTCAGGAGGCTGAGGCAGGAGAATCACTTGAACCCAGGAGGCAGAGGTTGCAATGAGCCAAGATCATGCCATTGCACTCCAGCCTGGGCAGCAAAAGCAAAACTCCATCTCAAAAAAATAAATAAATAAAATAAAATAAAAAATAAACAAAGATAAAACTGTTTCACCTTCACCCATAATTCTTTTGGTTTAAAACAAGCTAGAGAAACTTTAAGACAGATTTTATTCTATGATAATGTGAAGCTGGGGCAGATTTGAAATGTCTCTGAATCCTGCCTGCCTCCCAACCCTTCAAATTTTGAGGTAATTTCTTTTCTTTTTTTTTTTTTTTTCTTATTCTGACTCCTTAACCTCCCTCCCTCCTTCCTTTCTTCTCTTTTTCCTTCGATCTTTCCTCTCTTCCTTCCTCCTTATACCTACTCTCAGGACACAAGTTTTCCTGTGAACTAGGTTGATACATCAAAAGCTCTCATTGAAAAGTGGTTCATAGGAATCAATATAATAGTAATAATTTATCATTTGTACTTTCTAGCTTTGAATAAAAATTTGAAGCTTGCTGTTTGTCCTGCTTCTTTCACATTTTTCTCTTGAATTCTTTTTTTTTTTAGATGGAGTTTCACTGGAGGGCAGTGGTGTGATCTCGGCTCACTGCAACCTGCACCTCCTGGGTTCAAGAGATTCTCCTGCCTCAGCCTCCTGAGTAGCTGGGATTACAGGCATGCGTTGCCATGCTTGGCTAATTTTTTTGTATTTCTTTTTAGTAGAGACGGGATTTCCCTATGTTGGTCAGGCTGATCTCAAACGCCCAACCTCAGGTGATCCACCCCTCTGGGCCTCCCAAAGTGCTGGGATTACAGGTGTGAGCCACCATGCCCAGCCTCCCTTGAATTCTTTTATCCATTTGTCTATATTTTTCTTTTGGGAATGTTCTAATCCTTGGCATTAAGGACTGCCTGAAGGATATTTTGGTATATTTTAAACACTCTAATAAAACCTTTATTGTCTGATACAGCTGTCACTCAATCTTGCCTCTGACAGTCATTGCAATGATAATGTATGTGTACCAAATATCTTTATATCTTTGGTATCTTTTGTTTTTTTTGAGATGGAGTCTCGCTCTTTCGGCCAGGCTGGAGTGCAGTGGCGCTATCTCGGCTCACTGCAAGCTCCGCCTCCTGGTTTCCGCCATTCTCCTGCCTCAGCATCCAGATCTTTGGTATCTTTAAAGATGTGTTGGACACATCGTTATCCAATCAACCATTGTTGGACATGACTTTGCTGTTGTGAATTGTGCTGTGATAAACATATGAGTGCAGGATCTACCTGCTGTTTTTTTTTTTTTCCTTTCAGACAGTCTCACTGTGTCACCCAGGCTGGAGTGCAGTGGCATGATCTCAGATCACTGCAACCTATGCCTCCCAGGTTCAAGTGATTCTCTTGCCTCAGCCTCTGGAGTAGCTGGGATTACAGGCACCTGCCGCCATGCCCAGCTAATTTTTGTCTTTTTATCAAAGATGGGGTTTCACCATGTTGGGCAGGCTATTCTATAACTCCTGACCTGATGTGATCCATCCAACTAAGCCTCCCAAATACTGGGATTACAGGCATTAGCCCCCATGCCTGGCCCCACCTGCTTTTTTTATCCATTTCTTTTGCCACCTTAAATGTCTGGTCAAAGATGGGCTCTCAAGCTGACTTCGATTATTTTAGTTGAAAGATCTCTTAAAAGCCATCTAGGGCTTTTAAGGGAGAATTTTTAAAAATTTGTATAGGGAGAATTTTTTAAAATTTAAAATTCAGACAAATACTACCCATTCGGAAAAGGATTTGTAGCATATCGATTAAATATGACCAAATGGTAATTTTTTAAAAGACAGAAACTTATAGGCAGCAAAGGAAATATAACCAGGCAACTACTGGGTTGATTACATGAATCTAAGTCTCTTGGCTTTAATGTACAGGAGGAAATCATGGCAGACAACTTACAAAATACACACAAACACACACAGACACATACACACACACACAGACACAGCGAGACACACACAGACACACACACACACAGACACACGCACTTTTTTTATTTTTTCATTTTCTTACCTACCAACCTCCTCCCATAAGGGAAAAACAAAAAAAAAGACCAATGGATAACTTATTTGCAAAGACAAATTTTGCTGGAGCCAAATAAAAAATGTGTTACTTGGGAATTGCCCACAGTATCTATAGAGAGAGGCTGAGGTGCCCAAGCTCCAGCCTGAAGCACAGGGGTGCCAGGACCCAGAAGATGGGAGCTTCTTTACCTCAGGCCACTGTCCCGGCGGTGAGCAACAGGAAGCTGTAGGCCACCTGGGCCACCCTCGTCTTGACACCTTCAGCAGTGAATGATAAAACAACTTTTTAAAGATAAGCCTGAGGTCCATACCAGCGACTTGCTTATTCTCTAGAATGTAGGAAGACAAATGGAGATTCTGATGAAGTTGTTCAAGATGAAATCAGAGTATCCACTGGAAAAAAAAAAAAAAAAAAAAAAAAAAAAAAGCACAGCTAACACTTTTAGGAACAGAAATGGACTGTGTTGAAAACAAATTATCCAGTAAACTTGTGTTCAATAACCCAATCATCAAAGGAATGTGTGGCTGTGGAGAAAGCTTTAATATTTGACAACTCAGGATTCCTCTGGCTCTAAGCTCCAGGAGAGTGTGTGAAAGTCTTCGTTCTTACTGAAGAAGTCATGTGACTATCACGTGCTTACAGTTTATCATCTGTGGCTGCCTTTTAAGAGAAATAAAGTGATGCATTTTGGAAAGGAAGCTAGTGTGTTAGATTCAGAAGAAGTGATATTTGTATTCTCTGCAGAAGACTGAAAATGAGAAGCCATTGCTCTCTGGATTATTTTTCTGTTCTGTAAAGAAAAAAATCCTGCTCTGCGGTTAACTCTCTTGCATCCCTTCTTTTATTTTTATTTTTTTGAGACAGGGTCTCACTCTGTTGCCCAGGCTGGAGTGCAGTGGCACAATCTCAGCACAATCACTGCAACCTCTGCTTCCATGGCTCAAGTGATTCTCCAGCCTCAGCCTCCTGAGTAGCTGGGACTACAGGCGTGTGCCACCACGCCTGGCTAATCGTTTTTTTTTTTTTTTTTTTGGAGAGATGGAGTTTTGCTATGTTGCCCAGGCTGGTCTCCATCTCCTGAACTTAAAGGGATCTCCCTGCCTTAGCCGCCCAAAAGGTTGGGATTACATGTGTGAGCCACTGCCTCAGCCTTCATCCTGTTAATCCGTTCAGAAAATGCATCAACAGATGTGCACTCATTAGATCTCTATAGAATGGCTTGAATGTGCATCTCCCTGGCATTTTTCCCAACCACATTGGTGACTCTTAAAATTCAGAGGCAGAGAGTGTGGACTGCTGGTAGTAACACAGTGGTACATTGCTTTTCCATTCAAACTTGGCATAGACTTTTTACTTTTTTATTAAAAATTTCATTGTCAGATGCCTCATTTACATACCCTTTAGCAGTAGTCAGCAAAGATTTCCTTGAACTGTAGGGCAAAATAGTTCTGAGTGACAGTATGAAACAGTGAGAAATATTTTATTTACCTTGTTTGGTTGGTTGGTTGGTTTTATTTTATTTGTTTTTGAAACAGTCTCACTCTGTCACCCAGGCTGGAGTGCAATGGCGAGATCTCAGCTTACTGCAACCTCCGCCTCCCAGGTTCAAGTGATTCTCCTTCTTCCGCCTCCCCAGGAGCTGGGACTACAGGCACCCGCCATCGAGCCCAGTGAATTTTTGTCTTTTTGGCAGAGATGGGGTTTCACCACATTGGCCAGGCTGGTGTTGAACTCCTGACCTGAAGTGATCCACCCACCTCAGCCTCCCAAAGCGCTGGGATTACAGGCATGAGCCACTGCATCTGGCCCTACCTGCTTTTTTATCCATTCCTTTTGCCATCCTAAATGTCTGGTCGAAGAAAGGATCTCAAGACGACTTAGATTATTTTAGTTGAAAGGTCTTTGAAAAGTCATCTAGCCCACCCCCCTCAATTCTGTATGTGAGGAAGCAAAACCCTGGGGGGGCCAAAGGGCTTTTGTCTACCCTTAGTCCACAGGGTGAGAGATAGCTGGGACCAACCCACATCTCTTCTTCCTTATAGGTGACAGAAACTTGTGCTCC